GCATCCCTCCCTTCAGGAAGAAGCCCAGGGGTGGCAAGTTTGCAGGATAACTTCCTAGGCGAACCCTAAGCCGGGAAGGGCACTGGAAAAGGAAGAAGGGTGGTCTGAACAAGGCTAATTTCACCGCTCAAGACCAGAAAGGAGAGGAAGAACCCGAATTTCTGTATTGATCTCTGGAGTCTAAAAGGAGAAGCTTTTGCCTTCCTAGCTCCTAATTCCAATGGACAGTAAGAAAAGTAATAGCTATCAATTAATCCTATTTAGCGTCAGTGGCTTTGTACTCATCTTCTGCGAGGTAACTATATATTATCCCTATTTTATAAATGGGGAAGTGAAGGATCTGCATCCTCCCATCCCTACCTACTCTGATCCTAGAGGGGTGCAGTATTCCGGGGAGCCCACGTAGCTCCTGTGGCTTCCCACAGCCATGCCAATGCGCAGCCTCTGGCATTGGGAAGGGCTAAGGGCGAGATAACTCATGCTGAGCCTCGGCACCAAACAGGGACAAATAACCCCTTTAAAATAAGGGTCTGAGATTAAAGGCAAGAGGAAGGCAGAACGTGAGTCAGTCAACCTCTGATTTGGGAAGCTTGGGGCCTAGAACCATCTTTGGCGTCACGAGGTCAACGTGGAGAGGGCTGGGGTACAGGAGATAGAGGACTCCGGAGGGGCGAGGGACTTTGCAAACTTGCCCGTCGCGGCACGGTCCAGGGCCGAGAAAGGAAATCGGGCCGTTTGGGTAGGGTTCGGGCGGAGAGAACTCGAGCCCTCCGCAGCACCTTCCCAGGGAGCCCCAAGGGGGCCGTGGCCAGGGCCGCGGTGACGTCAGGTCCCCCGCCGGGCGCTTGGCCGCCTCAGCTTCCATCTGCCCGCGCATCCGCTCCGGGCGCTGGGCGCGGCGCGCTCCCTAGGGCTAGCGGGTGGGAGGCCCGCGCGCTCACAGTCCTGCGCCGCGCCCCGCACCCAAGGCCAGGTAGGGAGGCAAAAGATAGCTCAAGGCGCCGAAATCTTTGCTAATAGCGCACATTTCATTCTGTACATGCAGGCAGACGAGGGTAATGAAACGAGCGATTCCTTGGACCTTTTAAATCACCTGACACTTCTTTGCAAAGTAGAGCAAGCATCTCAAGTCCAAAATCCCAGAAGTAGCAAATATCTTTGCGTCCTGAAATGAGAGGACGTTCCATTTGCTTTTGAAGAGAAACTGAGTGCACCGCTCACTGAATCAGAAATATCACCATTGCACCAAAATGTAAAAATAAAATCCATCTAGACCTGCATACATAAAGAGAGCTCTCTGCCAATGAAAATCGTGGCCTTGTCTTAGTAACCCACCCACCCAAAGAGAATTCTTCTCTTAGTTAAAATAAGAAAGTCGAGTCCATTATTTCCTAAAGTCCAAGTAAGCCAAACATAAAGAAATTGAAAACAAAAATTGTAAAACCGGAGAGCATCGTCAGAAGAGAGAGAGGTTACAAAGTGTCCCTGGGTGATATCAGAGGTCATATTTCAAGGAAAGTTTTTAATAGAAAATAACTATGAAAGATACTAAACCAATTCTCTGGTTTGGGCAATTTCCTTATCTTTGGAAAGCTCTTTCCACAGTTGTTCACTCTAGAACTCCGGAAGCTGTTTCCCTTTGGACTTTAATCCATATTTTCATAGTAAAGGTCAGGAGTTTCTCCCTCTTCTCCTGTCTTTAAGGGATCCACCTCATAGACGAGGTCCCTAAGGAAATCCATCCAGCCACCTTCCAACTTCGGTCAAAAAAGAAAGCAATGAAAAGAAAGAAATCAACCGCTACCCCCAATCTCACTTGTAGCTGTCCTGAAAGGCAGCCTTTGCTCTGAGAGCAAGGAGAGGCAGCATAAAAAACAGTGAGATGCAAATTATTTTAAGGCAATAATGGTGGGTTGGGGGGGAGGAAGTGCTGGAGAATGTAAACTCAAGCCTCTGCTAAAGCTCATGGCAGAGGAAATTCCTTCCACAAAACAAAATATAAGAAACTGTTTTACAAAATTCTCCAAAAGCAATAAATAAAATGGGGGGAGAATATTAAAAAATATTTTAATTACAACAAATAAATAAATAAGCAGTGCCAACTAGCAGGCGATCAAACCACAGTCAAACTTCAATCTCAGAGCAGTTAGCTATAAACTGTTAGCAGCTGAAAAGTAAACCTTGTGCACACAAAGGCACTGTTTAATTTTCTTCTTGTAAGGATTCTAAAAGAAGACCCCATCACTATACAGTTAAGCAGTATTTCTTGTGCCCCTGAGGCGCTGATCAGTTCTTTATAATGTGAGAAAAGTGGCAGCTCAAAACCCCGTCAATGGAGCTCCCACAACAAAAGTTCTGAAAAGCTGAATGAATTGGGTTTGTAATTACTGCATCCCGCCCCCCCTCACCCCTTGCAGCTTATCTCTTATTCATTCACCTTATATTATTGTTAAAGAATCTTACTCTCAAAATCATTCCCTTCCCATTTTACCTGGGGTCACAGAGGAACTTATGACATGGCAGAAATGGAACACTCACCCCCCACTACACCTGGAAATGTTCAGACCAATAGGTAGGGAGGGGAGGAGGGATTATCTGGTACCCCAATTTACTCTGAGACTACTAGAACTCAGTGTACTCAACCTATGGAGTCTTCCATTTTAATACCCGAAATTTATTGGCAAACAGGAATGTGTACCCTTTCTAAACTCAGAGCCTGCCTGTTTCCGAAATCCTGTGACATCTCCACTTAGAAAAGGCAAAGGTTATAAATAAATCTCCTCCCCTCTCTCTCCACATTGTAAGGCCCTAAAAGACTATGCCAGACATGATGTAGAAATTAAGACAACTTATTATGCTCTTGTTTTTTTTCTTTTAAACCAAAAATGGTAAATAAAATAGAAAAGGAGACTATAATCCCCCTCCCCCGATACACACACACGCACACGCACACACACAGTCCAGAAAAATGTTTTATGAAAAAGTCAGCTATGCCAGGGCTCTGTGTGTATTTCAATCCAAGGCATTGCTGATGGAGAAGATTCTCCTGAGATTTCCTACTGTAAGATTGTGTCAGTTCTAGAAATAAGTACAGCTATTACAACCAAATCTACTAGCAGACTAAATAATTAATTGAAGCGTTGCTCTTTGACCCTTGAAAAGTCCAGTAGGGACACGTTTATAGTAATAATACCTCCGAATGAGCCCTTGTCAAATATTCATTTAGTGGTTAATGTGAGCCATTTCCCCCTGGGACCGTCTGTAATACCGGCTTCCCAGCATTGGCAAGAAACCTTGCTAATCTACTACAGCTCAGCAATATTTTAACACTCTTTATTTAAAGTATGGGGGGGTGGGTGCAGGGAGAGAAAAAAAATTGCAGAGGGAACAAACTATAATCTCATCCTTCTGCACATTTCTATTCTGTGTATAAGGTTAACAAAACATTAAATTCACCCCTTTGACTGCAAATTGAATGGTTTTAGTGAGCAGGATAATATCCCGAGGAAGAAACTGAACACTCAACAACTAACTTTAGCACTGGGAGATAATCATCTCTGGGCAAGCTTAAGGGTTTACCCCCTTCTTGGAAATCATGTTATAATTAAAATATCATATGTTCAATATTGATCTAGCCATGAAACTACACATCTTGGGGGAACCATTTAACCCAATCAAATGAGTGATGACATATGTATCATTTTCCTCAAATGCAGTTTATCAAAAGAATTTATATCTGCAAACAAAATATTCTGGCTTTCATTTGGTTAGGAGATATGGAGGTCTAGGAGGGGGAATGGGAGTTCTCTCATTTTATGCAGACAGTAGCAGTCATTCAAAACTACTTCAACTTCCCACAATATTGCTCTCCTCCCTCTTGCAAAATATTTGAACCTGAGCATTTTCCCAAAAAGTTTAAAAAAGATTTTTTTGTTTTAGTCTGATCCTGTGGGCTTTTTAAACTGGTAGGTTAGTGCAGTGCAATTACTCTAAACCCCAATACATATTTCTAATATATCTCTACTTTTCAAATATATACACACCATATAGTTGATTGGTTCGAATTCCAAGAATATTCTCCCCACCCCCCAGCAAGATCATTTGGATCTTTATTCAAAGTTTCTTTTATTCGTATGTGTGAGCAAGAACTGGCGAATGTGCTCATTACCACGTGAATAATCCGTATATGCATTACAATGGCTGGCCAGGCCGGGGGAAATTCTTTTAGAGTCTCTGCATTAATTAGGGGGGGAAATGCCTCACTTAGAATTGGGAACTGGCATAATAATTGTCCTTTCCCAGTACAATATTACCCTTAAAATGAGGATTAAAAAAAGGAATAAATAAAAACCAACAAACACCTAAAATAAAGCAATCCATACGAAATAAAAATACATAAAATATGAGAATATCCTCAGCTGAGTCTAGAACTAACATTAACAACACCAAGAGAAAGAAATACTTCCTTGGAAAACGAGAAGATGCGAACCAACGGGATGAACTAACTTAGTGGCTGCAGCCGATACTTTACTCAAGGGTGAAAGGCGCAGCTGGATTCCAACTTCTCCAAAGTTGTAGCAAGTTCACACAACAAGCCCTTGAAATTGTAGGAAGGAAACCCACGCTCCTAATACTGGACCCTAGGCTCCTGGTCCCCTTCGGTGGGGGAAGATAAGCGAGGTAAGTAGTGAGTAAAAGAAAAGTCCCCGAGTCGGTCTTTCAGATTCTCTGACTGCGCCAAAGTGCGCGGGTCGGTTGTGATGCAGAAACATCGCTAATTCAAAGACCACGGCGATTCCCCAACTTTTGCGCTCCCACTGAGGACAACTATAGTCTTTCTTTACCTTTCCTAGGGCAAAAGAAAACAACAAATCCAATCCTGTTTCTCCACCCCTTTCCCCCTCCCCCTACTTCTCTACTACTGTAGTAAAACATGGTCAACAGATCAAAAGCACAATCATCTCCAAATGTGATTAGACCGGACAAAGTAAAATATCTACCTCAGAGTTGATTGTTTTCTTCTTTAATATGGCTGTTGCCTGGCTTCTCTTTTGCTTGTTATCAGCTGCAGAGATTATCCGATTTGGGGCTACAGGCTTGGACCCGCGCTGCCAATTTAAGAAACAGAATTCGTGGAGAAAGAGAGAGGAAAAAAGAAAATAAATAATAATAATAATAAATAGCTGTGATAAGTCGGGGAGTTTTGCAAGATGCTCTTTGCTTTCCCTCGCCCCTAAACAGGAAAATGTAGAAAAGAAAGTTTTTGAAGTTAGGGAACAAAGAAAGCAAACCACTTGTTTCTTAGACAATAGCAGGGCCAGAGTAATCCAAACACCCACCCAGCAGATGAGTACTTTGCTTGTCTAGTTTGCAATTATTCCTACACAAGAAGCATCATTTTCCCCTATAACCACGTTTCCAAAGGGCCATTGTGCTGTGCAGAAATCGAAAACAAAACCAGCCAACCTGGTTCTGATTTGGCTCAATACCCCATCTGCTAAGCTACATGAAATTTTTCAGAATTGACTCCTTTCTGGCAACAAGTGGCATAAATCAGTTTAAGTCCCCATCATGCTTATTCATGTTGCTTAGAAAACGAGGGGGTGGATTTACAATATATGTCCCTAGTTTCTATTTTGGAAATGACATAAGCATTTCCATTTTTTCAAGAGTACTTATTCAATTAATCATCCAGCCATTTATTTGTTGCACTTAACATTAGCACATGCTACTGGACTAGAATACCAAGGTTTTAGGTACTTTGCTTTCTTGGCTGAGCACAGTATATTCCCCGAGGAGTTGGGCATAATCACAGTGTTATCCAAATAAATGAAAGACTCAAGCATAATTTCAGTGTCCATATTTCAAAAATTTATTTATCTCAAACTGTGCATAATGGAGTAAAAACTTAAGTTGAAAATGTACCTGTTATAAGGATGGTATTAGTTCAAATATATACATGGATTCTCGGCAGACTGATTCAATAATACAGAGCCGAATCTTTAAAATACAACTACGGAAAATAAAAGGGGGAAAACCTTAAAATATCACAGTAAATTTACAGAAATATTACAAACCATAAGAAAATATTTCAAACACAGTAATTTCATGTTTTTTTTATCTGAACAAAATGGAAAGTTGGGAAACAAAAAAAGCTATTATAAATTACCAACGATGTCAACCTGCATGGCCATTTTTGCTTTTAACAGTAAGTTAAAAAAATTTAGTACAATCTAAAACTTTTGCCCCTTTAAAGACCACGGAGATGGTTTTGCCAGTACTTATTCTAATTTTTTTCCTTTTGTACAATTTTTAAACAATTAAAATGTCCAAATCTGATTAATTTTCTTCTTTCCACGTTTGCAACTGTCCTAAATTTCAGCTGAAGAATCAAAATTCAGCAAGAAGCCTCTCCTTGAAAAATATTGGCAAATTCTCAGCTTATAAACAATGGACATTTTGATTGCCATGTTTATCTCGATAAATACTGTACAAAAGTTGCTTGCAAATATTAAAACATTTTTTTCGTCGCTTGGAGACTAGCTCTAAATATTATTGGTAAAGACTTTTGCAAACTTTCTGCAAAGCTCCTACCGTATCACTAGAACTTTTAAAAAGTTTTGCGTAGTTTTCTTTCCTCCAGATCTATACAAGGTCCATTCCCTCGCCCTCCCCACCCCCCCACCCCAGGTTTTCTCTGTACAAAAATAGTCCCCCCAAAAGAAGTCCAGGATCTCTCATAAAAGTTTTCTTGCCGGCATTGCAGTTTTTGCGTGAGTGCGGATGAGACTGGCGTTCTCTTTTGCAGCTGTCATTTGCTGTGGGTGATGACTTTTTTTTTTTTTTTTTTGAGCGTACCGGGTTTTTCTCCTTGGTGTTTCTTGCTCTCCTTCCATTTCCCTCTTTTTCTTTGAAAATTTCTAACCCGCCCCCTCCAGTTCACTGTCCGGACCTCACATGTGCGAGAGGGGCAGTGTGCCGTTAATGGCCGTGCCGGGCACCGGGCCGCTCTGGTAGTGCTGCGACATGTGAAGTCTGCTGGGGGCGGCGGGCTCCGGCACCTCGGCGCCGGGGAGGTACATGCTGATCATGTCCCGGAGGTCCCCGGCCTGGCAGGGCGCCCTGGAGTGGGAAGAAGAGGTAACCACGGGGGGGCTGGAGCTGGCCTCGGACTTGACCACCGAGCCCATGGAGCCAAGAGCCATGCCAGGGGTGCCCTGCTGCGAATAGGACATGCTGTAGGTCGGCGAGCCGTTCATGTAGGTCTGCGAGCTGGTCATGGAGTTGTACTGCAGGGCGCTCACGTCGTAGCGGTGCATGGGCTGCATCTGAGCGGCGCCGTGCGCGTTGAGGCCCGGGTGCTGCGGGTAGCCCAGCTGGTCCTGCATCATGCTGTAGCTGCCGTTGCTCCAGCCGTTCATGTGCGCGTAGCTGTCCATGCGCTGGTTCACGCCCGCGCCGAGGCCGGCGCCCACCCCGACCCCGCTCGCCATGCTGTTGCCGCCCGGGGCGAGCAGCCCTCCCGGCAGCGTGTACTTATCCTTCTTCATGAGCGTCTTGGTTTTCCGCCGGGGCCGGTATTTATAATCCGGGTGTTCCTTCATGTGCAGCGCTCGCAGCCGCTTGGCCTCGTCGATGAACGGCCGCTTCTCCGTCTCCGACAAAAGTTTCCACTCGGCGCCCAGGCGCTTGCTGATCTCCGAGTTGTGCATCTTGGGGTTCTCTTGGGCCATCTTGCGCCGCTGCCCGCGGGACCACACCATGAAGGCGTTCATGGGCCGCTTGACGCGGTCCGGGCTGTTCTTCTGGTTGCCGCCCGCCGCCGCCGCGGTGGAGTTGCCGCCGCCGCCGCCGCCGCCGCCGCCGCCGCCCCCCGAAGTTTGCTGCGGGCCCGGCGGCTTCAGCTCCGTCTCCATCATGTTGTACATGCGGGCGCTGTGCGCGGGCCCGGCCCGCCGGCGGCCGCCGACCCTCGGCCCGGCCGGGACTTTGGGGGGCCCGCGGGCGGGGGGGAGAGGAGGAGGGGAGGCGGGCGGGGGTGTCGGGAGCTCAGGGCTCCGCGAGGAAAATCAGACGAAGAATAATTTGGGGAAAGAAAAGAGAGGCAAACTGGAGTCAGGATCAAAAAAGCGCTTCCCTCCTCTTCTGGCCGATCCAGCCGCTGCCGATGATTGTTATTATTATTTTTTGGAAAGGCTTAAGCCTGGGGCTCAAACTTCTCTCCCTTTCTTTCTCTCTCCTCTTCTTTCTCTCAGTCCTAGTCTTAAAGAGGCAGCAAACTACTTTCCCCCTTTTGCAAACACTCTCTTCTCTGCCTTGACAACTCCTGATACTTTTTTGAACAAGTTAATAGACAACCATCCATGTGACGGGGGCTGTCAGGGAATAAATGGGTTTCCTGCGACCAATCAGCGCGCGGCGGCTCCTCCACTCGAGCCCAGCCTCGCCGCCGGGTTTTGCATGAAAGGGGGCGGGGCCTGCCGCGCCGCCGGCCTCGCGGGGGAGGCGGGGGGAGGCGCGGGGAGGAGGGAGGGGGAGGCGGCTCCCACAGCCAGCCTGCCAGCCACTGAGAAACCTTTGTATCCTCTCTCGCAGCAACAGGTCACACCACACGCCTTTTCGAAGGAAGTGGGTAAACAGCACTAAGACTACGATTTCTTCTTCTTTAAACTTAATCTCGATTTACTCTTTGGTGCGGGCTGCTGAAATGAGGAGGGGGCGCGAGAAGCTGAGGTGGGGTGGGGGAGGGCAAAGAGGGTGGCTCAGGGCGACTGTCCTAGTATTTCAGGAAACCGGCCTTGCTGGAGTTGGCGTGTCATTGTTCTCCCGCTCCTCCGCACACAGCCCCCAAATCCAGCCGCTCTAGCTCTTCTCCCTAACCTGGCTCTTCCGCTCGCCCCTCTCCCTCCACGGGAGCAGACGCTCGCTCACCCCCTTCTCACACTGTCCCGACAAGAAGTTAGGAGACGGAAAGCTCTGTCCTCAGAGCCCTCCTTGCTTCCACGTAATTCGCTCTGTTTTAAAAATAAACTCTGCTCGGACTGTGCGGCCTCTAGAGCTGAGGCCGGGCCGGGCCTGGGTAAGCTGCCGAATCCACGCTCTTCCCTGCCCAGCTCAGCCCTCTGGGCCGGAAACCACGGCTTGGCTCTCACCCCAGCCACATCTCCCACCCGTCGTTCTCCACTCAGTCGGGTGCAGAGGGGACGCTCGTCTTCTCTCCCATTTTCCTGAGCTTCCCCCAAGGAGGGATCTCAGTGGTGTGGGGTTCCAAAGGGGACTGGGGGAAGAAAAAGATCCACAGAAGGACGCTCACAAGTGCTGTCTATGGGGGAGGGTAATCTCAGCTTCCTGGCATCCTAGGGCACTGCTTGGAGGTGGCTTTTGAGCCGCACTCACAAACTCCCTCCCACGCAGAGTTCCCAGGACTCAAGCAGAACCAGCCCTGGCATTTCCCCCACCTACTTCTACCGCGGTGGCCCATCGCCCCGACAGCCTGGGGCTGGGGCTAACCCCGGAGGGGGCTCCGGGCCTGGGAGGCGGGGGTGGTGCTCTCCAGGCACAGGTGCAGGCCAGGCCGGCAGGAGGAAGGCGACCAGGATTGGGGAAAGGGGGAGCCCGGCAAGGCCCGGGCTGGAGGAGGATAGGGTGGGGGGCGGGAGTAGGGGCTCAGGAATCCTGCCCTCCTAGGACCCAAGAGGGTAATTTTAGCCGCTCTCCCATTGTCCCGACGTAAAGATTTCAATAGGTAGGCGCTCAATGCGCAGAGCAATGGCAGCACGTCCGTTACAAATAGGTAGTTTTGTTTCTCTTGTTGTCGCTACACGGAGTCAAACAAAGCCCCGTCTAAGTTTCCTTCCACTCTCTTGTTGGGATCTTTGTGGCTAAAATGCACTTGACTACAAAGCGGGGGGGGGGGGGGGGGGGAGGGGAGAGGAAAAAAAAAACCCCAAAACCTCGATGCCATTTCTTTTTTTATAAAGGGCTTAAACCATCAGGGTTACTTATTTTCTTTCTTCTGTAACACTCTCTCCGCCTCCCTCCTCCCCGATCTACCCTTACTCACCCTAATAAAATGTACTGAATAGTATCTGTCGGCCACGTTCCATTT